TGCTTCAAAGTGTTATGAAATCTCACAGTTGGACACTAACTGCCCAACAGACCCTACTGCATCGGCAAGGAAAAACTCACAAAAATATATATTAAAACATATAATTCTACTTGACAAGAGTGTAAGGTCCAAACCTAAAAATATGAAAGTAAGTTACTGAATGTTTTAGTTATTAGTCTTTGATGACTTTATATTTAATTGTTGATGGACAATACAAAGGTTTATGTTTGTGTTCAGACTATTGTGTAAAAGAAGAGAAAACTATTATGAATGGTTTTATTTGGTCAGTCCCCTCCCTTGGATCGACCTATGGATCTCACATGCACACACACACGTCTAGACACATCTGTTGTACAGTCTTATAGCCGAAGGAGCAACATAGTAGTAGTAGTAAGTAATCTTTATTTATATACCGCCTTTTCACTGCAGAGCTGAGTTTCAAAGCGGTTTACAATTGTTATTTTTTGGACATTAGTCTCTCACTCCACACAGAGATAGGAGCAGGGTCGCCAGTACAGGCGCATGCCAGACACGGGGAGAACATGCAAACTCCACTCAGAAAGGCCCTGGTCCGACCAGGATTCGAACCCAGGACCTTCTTGCTGAGAGGCGAGAGTGCTATCCATATAGCACTCAATAACCACTTACCTCTTCTCTGCTGCGACATAGTAAGCATTAGTAGCATTCTTATTTTCTTATGGTGGTATTGAAAAGAGTGACTTTACAAAGTACTGTCCCCAGTACTGTATACATTCACCCTATGGATTCAATTCAACTGATTTGACCATAGAGACAAAGAGACAATACGTTGGTCTTAAATTCTCATAGCGTGAACTCCAGATATCTACATACCTGGTCACTTCCTCCACACGATCTACCCCCTTCATGGCGGCCACACTGCAGTACAGGTGTCATGCAAGTCCCACAGTTAAAGAAGAAATATCATGCATTATTTTATATCATTAAAATGCAAATGTGACTCGGTTTTTTGTCAATTCAAGTTTTAGAATGGCAAATATTATCTTAAGTAGAAAATATATGGTTATTAATAGGATAACAATTACATCAGCCTGTAACTCCCTATGCGAACACCAGAGGGACGAGTTGAATTTGTTACTGTTGTTTTAAAATCCAAAAATTCCAGTTTTTGTTTCATCACACTATTACAGGACTGAAGATCTTTAGGCAGAAAGGGAGGAAATTCAGTTACATCTTGGTGCCAAAAGGTACTCATAAACGGATGATAGAGGAACGTGTTGCAACATGAAGAAAATGCAAATAACATTTACATTTGCATAATATGTTTCCTCTAATGGATTTACACGCAATGTTCTCATTTGTTTATTTTTATTTCAGGTGACCGTCTTGTTGTATGTGGCTTCAGTGATGGCGTGAGGTCTTTGGATCCTGGTCTTTTTTGCGTTCCATATCTGATATCGCTGCGCAGTTGTGGACATTCTTCTTCAAATGGGAATTAACTTTTTTTTCTTTTTTTTTTTAAAGCTACAGAACCAGGACAGAGAACTTTGATGAGACAAAATGAGAGGTCTTAAAAAGTGGTCTCACCTGCTAAAAATAACTACGTACTCAGAAAAACATTTGGTTAAATTTTTTCAGTATAGGATTAAAAAGTAGTAGCAGTAGCAGTAGTAGTAGTAGTACTGTAGTTTTCACTGCAAGTAACAGTATATTGGCAAGAGAAGAAGAAATGTAGAATGAACACATGTGCGCTAACCAAATACATTTCAAGAGGTATTGTCAGTTCTCCATGTACAGTCCTAAAATGTCCCATAGCCTTTTCCCTTTCATGCCCAACAAACTATTGGTTCAACAAAACGCCTCTACTCTCAGAGATTTCCTTAAATTGGGGGAAAAAATTATCAAAATATTTATGGCTCCTGGATATTTGTTTTTGAGGGAATAGAGGCATTGTTATATTAACCTAAAATGTAAATATGGAATAAGATCAATCAGTTCTAACCTCGCTCTCAAAACAGTTTGGTTCCATTGCTCGTTTTTCATGCATGGATTTGTGGACTCTGTCACATCTTTAGTTCAGCTTCTTCAGACAGAAAAGTGAAAAAGAGGGGACCACCTTTACTCAGCCAATCAGCTCTCAGACAAGCCTCAGATGCTGACTCACAGGGCTCTTTCTTACAAGTATTCTGTTTCTGTTAGGACAAAAAAACATTATTTATGACAGAAAAAACTTAGCTCACAACAGAATAGGAATTAGACATGTCCCAAAATAAAACCAATGAAAAAGCAAAGTAGATGGAAATTTGGGATCAATGTGACTTACTGTACATACAAAACAGACATATTCATAAACAACTATTGGAGGCCTCTGTCTGTGTTGAACAGTGGTTACTGTATTTTATCAATAAAAATACAAAAATGTCCATTCTAAGTGATGCAGCAGTGAGTAAGCACTAGACTTGTGCCTTCATAAGGATGGTACTGAATATGCACTTACAGTATATGTGTCTATACCATGTACACATCACTATAAGAAGCCTTTTCCCCAGTTCTTTTCATTGTTGACTCTTAATAAATGTGTGCTTTTTACTGATGTCATGTCATACATTAAAAAAATAACCCAACAACACCAGCCCATTTAAGCATGTGCGGACTTCAGTTGTAAATACAAGATTAGAAAATTCTTGAGCATAAATCCAGTCAGTGTGTCCTTTTGTTGGAAACTAAAAGCCTTGGGAAGGGTCCAATGGAAAGATAAGAAGGGTGATTGTAATCAGAAAAGAGCAATGAAATGCATTATATTGAGACAGCACTTTAGGTCAATGGCGCATTATTGATTTTGCTGAAAAGAGGCCGGAGAACGCAGCAGGGAACGAGCTTTTTCATTTCTGATACCAATCTCGATACTTGCAATAACCAGACGATACCTGACTTGGAGAGTTGAAAATGGACCTTAAATCATAGCTAACATACTACATCAAGGGCATAATTGTATTTAATAGTGGTAATAGTGGTAGCAGCAGCACCAGTCGTAGTAGTAGTTTTTATAGTTAGCCAAGAGTTACCTCACAGTTGACTCTTGCGGGGGAGAGAGGGCCGAGTACTGCACTACTTAAGAGGAGATCATAAAAAGTGGCCTCCTCTGTTTGGAGAAAACTCACAGAGACTCCTTAGAGAGGGTTTAGGGATATGCCTACAGTGCTTCACAAAATGTAGCCAAAGTTTCCCATTAGGATTAAAAATAAAAAAGCAGTTATAGTAGCTTCAGTGGTAGTACTAGTAGTTATGGTAGTAGTGGTAGAAGTAGTAATGGTGGTAGTAGTAATAGTATTAGTAATAGTATTTTACCCTGCAAGTAACAACAGAACTTTGCATGAGAAAAAGGGAAAACTGGGTTAATATCATCCAGGAAATAGTCGCATTACATCCACTGTCAGACCCAATCTGGATATTAGCTTACGTATTACAGATACCTGATCCACCAATTTGTCCCGGATCAGCCCCAATATTTGAAACCAGCGTCTGTATCCCTGCACGGAGCTGACAACATTCATAACTCACAAAGTACAGTATTCATCCAGAGAAAAAAGAGGCTTTGCAGTTCCATTTATGCTTTAGAGTTGCATTTATTTCCAAACTGAAAAGATGACAACAGTGTAATTCACTTTGGTTGGTAGTCCGTACAGTTTTCTTCTTCCTCCATAAATGATAAATGGCTCGGTTGGATGCGCACACCTACTTTAGTTGAGATTTCTAAATAGTTGCATCAGATATTAGCTCATGGATCAGCCGCACATGTTCCCTGTTATGTAACTTATGGGTGATAAGGTTTGTGGTTTCGGGACCACTTGGGTGACAGTAGTTCATTATTGAGACTGTTTGAAGAATGCACTTAAAGTTCCATTTCAAATAGTCAAAAACACAAATAAATTAAACAATATAATAGTTACGCATAAAGTTGCACTACAGTACAAAACCGAAATCACAGTTACAAAAGTTTTATTATAAGGCCCGTCATCAAAAGGCACGTACATTTAGCAACATTCACCGTCTACTAGAGGCTACTGCGCACACACGTCTGTCTCACCAGTTTGACAGCAGACAATGGAAAAAGATAAAAGGCAATTTGTAGTTCACACTTTCCCAGGAAATGAATGACATCAATGACGTCCACTTGAACAATTACGAATAAACTTTTTTTTTTGCTTTAAAGCAGGTATGTCAAACTCAGGCTCGTGGGCCAAATCTGGCCCTTAAGACGATTTTTAGTGATATTCAATTCAGTAATATTATTATTTTATTACACGGCTCCTCACAGCAGCAGTAGAACGCTCAATTGATTTGAAGGTCATTTCGAAACGTTCTACCGGTCATTATTTCTTGATAACCGGCCTCTACAAACAATAATGACCGCTGCCCATGGCAACGCAACCTCTGCTTGTAATTCAGATGTGTAGATTACACCGCAAGTAGTTCCGGCCACTTCGTCGCAATCGGAGCCACGCTCAATAAATGCAAATACCAATCAATCAACACATTTAAATGTTAATCGGAGAATACATTATACATATACAGTCTTAATACACATGCACGGAGGTTTTCAGAAGTATCTGTTAAGGTTTTCATGACAAAAATACTGTTTTAATGCGAGAAAAAGCGATTGCGAAAAACCCGGAAGTAGATTCCGGGACATTTTAGGACCCATTTGCAGAGGATCGGATTATAAAATTTTAACCCAACACATAATTAAAAGTTGAATAGTTAAATATAAAACAATGTGTTTAGCTTTATATTCTTACCTATCTAAACAAAAAACACATTTTGTTTAAGGAAACATTTCCAAAATACCTTCATAATGTAAAAAACAATGATAAGAAAAGGAAATCCCTAGTAGATTTTTGGCCCCCGACGAGCTCCTATTTGTTTCATTTGACCCTGACCAAAATGAGTTTGACACTCCTGCTTTAAACGAAGGAATAGTTCACACACTTCCATAATATCCTATTCATTGCGTTGTGCCCTTATGTGAACTTCAAATACTCTGGGATTGAGTAGTTAAAAAGTAGGAAGTCCATGCGATAAAGGTTGTAGAGTTTCTTTTGGTAAAACGGACTTATATTTTGGAAGAAGTGCGCAGCCATGTCGCCTGTAGTCCTGGTGCTTTTGGAGGAGGTGGGGAAGCTGACCTGTTGCTCCACTCCGGCCAGCTGCAGCACGTAGCGGGAGTCCTGCTCCAGCGTCTCGTACTTTCCCACCACGTCGTAATGGATGAGGCATGGGTGGCACAGCGAATGTACGCGCTCCCAGTGTTCGTTAAAAGGCTCTTCTCGCTGCGTGGCTGGGTCCACGAGATAGTACACAAACTCTTCGAAGGACACGTCGCTGCCCTTCTCCAGAGCTTCGGGCTGCGGGTTCGGCCGGTGCCGCTGGACGATCTTTGTGCCGTAGCGCTTGTGGAAAGCAGTGTTGTAGCTGCGCGTGAACTTATTGCGATACGCCGAAACGAGGCGCTCAAAAGGCTCCCGCACAAAGAGGAACTTCAGGTAGGAGCGCAGTCTCTGGTTGATCTGGGACTTGCTGTACTCGGACAGCGTGCGGAGGTTTCCCGACACGTGGGCTTCGTTCGCGGGGATGGCCAGGGGGTCTCGTTGGGCCCCGGCCATTCCGGTCAGCACCATCAGCACGCGCTTCCAGTTGGTACAGGCCACTTTGGGGACGTAGCAGTACAGCAGGCCGTGCTGGTCGTCCACGATCACATGTTTGAGGTCTTCAGGGATGAGAACTCTGCGTTTGCGAGTGTACGAGCGGCAGCCCTCCTCCAGCAGCTCGCGCCGGCTCTGATGCAGCACCTGCACCGCGGACTCCACCTGAAGAACAAATGACAAGTCATTAGGGATGAATTCTGGTGCCAATGGATCTTACAATTGAAACTGGGGCACCCATTTTTTCCACACAAATAGACTACTTGCTGAACTATAAGCTGTAAGTAAGTCAGTAATGTTTACTTTTACGCTATACAATTGTTGTTGAGATCAGATATTTTTCCCAACACACTGGCGCATCAAAGCCCCAACAAACACCACCTATTCACTCACTCATTACATTCAAACCTATTGTACATGTTTTTAGTGGTGGGGAAACCGGAGCGCCCCGAGGAAAGAACCTTCAAACTCCACACAGAAAGGCCTGGAGGTGGAATCGAATTCAGGACCTTCTTGCTCTAACCGCTGTGCCACCGTGCTGCCAGAAGCTGCTACTTCTTTCAAGTTATTTGGACCCTGCGGCCTGTGTCGTGATGCAGCCATGATTCAGACTGAACAATACCCGCCCTGTTACATGCTACACTCTATAAGATATTTGATCCAGTCACTCTAAACCAAAACTTTTATAACATAAATCCGACTGCAATATCAGGAAAATCGCAGTTAGATATTTTGCCAAAACCATGCAGCCCTGTGCTAAACTCATCCAAAATCTAAATAAATAAAAAGGTCAAAAGACAATCTCTGTGACCAGCTCCTTTATGATGCAATGATATTGTACAGTAAGAGGTCAGTCAGTTCAGTTTGTCCTGCTGCTCACACAAACACTGTATTTAGTCCTTTCATTGAGCGTTGCTGGCTCCCGCTGCAGAGCGCTGGTCGGAGAGGGTCACACTTCCACTCACACTGTGGCCTTTCTGTTGCTCTGGGTCCAAAATACAGCTGACTGCACACAGACCCACCTTCTGTCACTCCCTCCAGCTCAAAATCCACTCTTTCCACTTGTGACGTGGGCTAATGATTTCCACCATAGGCAACATTGGCAACTATTTTTAATGTTTTTAAATAGTCTGCAGTGTTTCCTCTGCTCTCCAACTGGAAACAGTGGAACAATATGTATTAAAAGCTTTCTAACTAGTAATTTCCCCTCAAAACAGCCACTCGTTTTCGCAACCAGGATTCTCTGTCGTTAGTCACAGCATTAGATCAGCTTTTTTAGATGGAAAAGTGAAGTAGAGCGGACCACCCCGGCTCTCTCAGCACAAAGAGTCACTACAAGTTTGCCAAGGATAAAACGTTTTCTAGTAAAAACGAAAACAGCATGTTGTGATCGGACTTGTTCAGCGGTTTTAGTTTTTACAAGCTGCTTTTTGTGGCAATAAACAAAAAGATTTATATATGATACGAAAACGTTATGCATCCCACTGCTGACAGAAACTTATGTAAATGTCTCCATTGTGAGATCAATAAAGTTTTTCTTATCTTATTCCTTCTTTAAACCTGTTAAAACAAACCAACGCTACTTAACAGGAGAAAAATGGGAGAGTGTTTTTATATAGAGCCAACTGCAATTTTAATAAACTTTGACACTTGACTAACTTAAGTGTTTTCTTTTCATTTTAGTGTCCGGGAACAGAGATCAGAATACACAGTTGTTCTTAGTTGAGCAATGTTATTGTAATTAAATAAGAATTGATAAAGTCCAGGCGTTCGGGGTTAGAGAGAGCAGAGACAATTAAGGAAAGTTGAATCAACGTGTTGGTTTTTTCAGTCCACTCCTAACTGGAAACATGTGTTCACTCTCAGCGCTCATCTCTTTTAATACTTCATAAAAAACACAAATTGTAAAGTTATAACTCATATATAGACTTATATGATAAAACAGGACCATCACACACGTCTAACCAACTCTCTACCCTCATTTTTTCATGAAGAAAAGTTAATGTAATAGTTTGTGCGATCATGTGACATCACAAGCAGCCTGTAGTTTAAAATTGTGGTGCAGCTTTGGTGGTAACTATGGTAACTGATAAAAGTCAGATGTGGTATTAAAAGAAAGTCTTAATCTCCACTAACATTTCCCCGAATCTAGCAACCTAGGTAAAGTTTTTATTTTATTTTAATGTATGTATTTTAATGTATTCTTACTTTGGATTATTTTGGTGCACAAGGAAAACACAAGGAGAAGGGAAAGGGGAACAAATAATTTGTAAAATAGGAGAAACAATGTTGTGTACATGTTGCGATGAACAAAACATATGTATGTGATCGACATAATAAAAAAAAAAGAGCTAAAAGTCAGATTAGTTTTGCGCAAAATCTTCTTTAATCTCTGGGAAAAAAATAAGACAACAACTATTCTTCATCTTCTTTGTCATCACACATTAACTATGGTCAAATTATTTTCTCATAAAAGGCATCTGGACGTGGAGAAAACGATCAAGAAAACATATGTATGATGTTGGCTAGATTAACTTTCAGAATAATAAATAGAAGAATAATATGGTGTTGTATTGACTCTAACCCTCCAACTGAAATATAATTCTACACCATAAACACAGCCCATTGAGAAACGTTAGCATAGTAAAGCAGTTTGTGATAGATTACAACATTAGCAGTGCGCAGTAAAAGCTCAGTCACTATCATCTGTGTTGTTCAGAGAAAGAAAGAGCCTGGCCTTTGATTGCTGCAGAAACCCACTAGAAAGAGTTTATTGGGGAGACTCGCTAACAAAGCAGTCTGAAAACGCTGCTTCTCTTTCTTTTTATGCTATTTTTAGAAAGGGCTTGAAGCGGGACAAGGCACTGGATTGACGTCAATTGTCGTCATGTTTCTGAAGATGTTTAGTCCCTGGTCAGGCATGTCCAAACTCAACCGCGGCCCACTCTCTTACTAACACAAACTTGCCATTGAGATCACAAATATAAGTACACAGTGTCATCCAGCCAGCTTCAGCGTCACTATTATATGCATGCTATACTTAAACGTAAAGCTCAGAACCTCTGAGTGGTTTACTGTACGTTATTTGTATATTCTGACTTTTGTTTTTGATGATGTCACAACATTCTGAATATGACACTAATGTAGCAGGAGATCGTACACGTTTGTCTTCATTCAACTTCATCTCTGTCAAAAGTGAATCAATACGCACATGGCATCCTTCATTTAAGAGCTCAGAACCATTTCATTTCCCTTTTTTAATGATTATATTGTATTTATTTATCGATTTATTTGTTTATTTATTTACCCTTTATACTCAGGGGAACAAAACTCTATAAAAATCCACTGGAGTCTGGAGACGAGCTGGGGAAGGTGGGTGGTGTAGGCGGGGTGGTGTGGTATGGGGAGGGGGGAAGGAATAGCAAAATATAACAACACACAGATTGTACTTGTTGTCAATAACTGCCATTAGCTGCATTTATCAGTGTGTAAAAAAATATATATAAACAAATAAAATAAAACAAAAACCAAGCTCAGAACCAGTGAAAACAGTTTCCGTGTCGTCTGCCTCTGGATAAAATTGCCGAGCTTAAGTGTCCCTCTTTTTTAACCAGGTTTGGTCTATGGTTTTTCATGTTTTCTATCACAAATAGTCTAGTGTATTAACCAGGAGTGACCACATCAGGATGTCCCATTTCTCTACTCTACACTTTTTAACAGTGTGCACAAACACAGTGGAATTATTTCTACAGCCTGAGTCCTGGATCCATTGTCTGTCCATTCGTGGGAGTGGATCCCTCTGTGGGCCTCCCTTAAGTATCTAACTTTAATCCCATTGCCTCTGGGATTTCAAGTTGTTCCTTGCGGATGCAGGACTAAGGACAGTTGTGATGATCTAAATGTTAGAACTGTTATGGACATTGATCATCCCACTCCCTGTGGACCAATGGCTCCTATTTGTGTGTTATTATTGGATTTCTTGTGTTCCAACTGCTGGATTCTCTGATAATAATAATACATTTGATTTAAAATCAGTGTTGACAACTTTGTAAAATCCTCCGAGACGGCTGCTGTTTAATTGAATTTGGAGGTTTATTACACTTTATATAGGCTAACTTTAACTTTACCCTCAAAAGAGTGTAAAGTTACTCTGTTTTAATCAGTCTGGCCCAGTCTGTAATGGCCAGCTGTTTTCCAGCTGTTGTCAGGGGAAGTCTCCCACAGTGACGTCGTCATGTGATGGATTAAGTGAGCAGCTGTCGAGACAAAGTGTGCCCTGACTTCAAAACATATCTGATGTAGAGTAATGCATAGTTCTGTTCTAGGCCCAATCAGAGAAAGAACTAAAGCATTTTACTGGATTCCACTTTTATAAGAGATCTCTTTGTTCATCTGGCTATTTATATATAGAGTGTGTCTAACGGCTGGGCTTCATTCATCATGTGTTTTTATGGTTCATTACAAAAGGAATGCGGTGTTAAATATATTTCACAGATTTCTGTGGTGGTGACGCATTTTTCATTATATGCTTTAGCTTTTTCCTGAGCTGTGTGCTTCACCACGTTGGCTTTGAAGAATGAATGAGAAATGTAAACCAAAATAGAGGTAAATTGTGTTGCAATTGCAATATGCAAGAAAACATAAAATAAAAGTCAATCAACCGGGGGGGGTTTGACAAGTTTGACTTCTTCCCATGTGGATGTTCATGTATGTACGTATGTTAGCTTGAAATCAATAAATACATGAAATAAGTGAATGAAAATGGCAGAATGTTTGCAGCACACAGCACTGACCTGGTCACTGTCATAAAGAGCCTGCAGCGGATTCCATCTGGACTTCTGGCCACTTCTCTCCCCGACTGGCTCTGAACCTGTGGAGACAGCATGGATCCTTTAAGCATCAGGTACAAATTGTGAGAAACCAGTGATAAACAAATGATTGCTAATGATGTGCTAATGTCACAAAGAGGAAGCCAAACCCACATGTCCATATTAACAGCAATCAACATTCAGGCAACTTCAACTCGGCCAAACGTGAATCAATATTGTGAACAAATTGGTTGCGAAAAATCCAAATCGGTCATTCCCTATTTATTTTGTCTTTATCATATCAGACAGCTGCACAGGTACACATCACCACTGTCTGTTTCGTGGCAGCTCAAAAAGGCTTTCTGTTGCTTAACCTGTTGAATAAAACTTAACAACATAAGAATAATTAATTCAGTAAAAAGAAGTCAGTTTCAGAACACTGGAGAAACATGGTTCTGTCCGTGAGCTAATGAAAAACATGGACCTTATGTTACATACTCTGCAAGGCCTCTCTGTTTGTTTACAGACATGTTTTCCAAAAAGGAATTTGTTTGAAGATTGGAAAAGCGCAGCCCTTATAGAGGATCTGATGAGCTCTGAGCCTGCTCTACATTTACAAGGATGAGCTTTCACCTTGGCTTCCGGTTACAAGGTCTGGGAAAAAACCTAACAAAACAAAATGTGATGTGATAAAAAAACACAAGCCAGAGTTGAGTAAATGTTAGTTTTTCAATTATAAAAAAGTATATAAATAATAGACTTAGAGTGAACAGAAGCAAGAAGTTAGCAGTCGGCGTGAATTCTGATCTTATCCTTGATCTTATTCTGATTTCTTATCCTTGTGTGGGGTTTTTATTTATAACACTTGTTGCACCATATTTTAACACCAATCGTCACTTATAATCTTTTGTCCCACCTGCTTTTAGACTGCTGGACTCGCTGAAGCTTGGTGAAATGGACTTGTGTGTGGTGTTGAAGCTTATATTATGTTCATATGTTTGTACGGGGCTCCACTTCATATCATATCATATCATATCGCTTACCATCTGACGTTTCCTGTGTTTTTATGTTTTTAAGTGCTGTGCTGCTCAAACAAATTACCCTTGGTGGGATAACTAAAGTAATCTGAATCTGAATCTGACACTAACTTATGCAGATTCTATCTCGTATAAGATTCTGCAGTCTTGCCCTAATGCGGGAATTTGTAAGAAAAAGCAGTGCTAATGCCTGAATTGCAATAAATACTTTACATACAGTGGAATACGTTTCCCAAACTGAAGTTACAGATCTGTTACTTTTGTGAAGCCAAAGTCTTCCTCCAACACACACACACACACGCAAACACAGCTAGTTTTCTTTCTTCTTTTTTTATATAGCAAACCTGTTTTACCAATATTTGGCCACATTACTTCAAAACAAATGAGCGTCACATGACTCTAATTTGGGTTGCCACTTCCAATTATGAAATCCAGTAATTGTAGCCCTCTCTAAACACCAGCAGCTGCAGCACATCATTCTTCCGCAGCAGGTGCAGCTCTAGGTTTTTGTTGTACATGTAACTTTTAAACAGAAAAAAACTGTTTATTCTAAGCTCTTTTAGAATAGCTGACCCTGGCCTGTATAGTGCCTGATGCATGAAAATCACAGCTTTCACATTTGAGGTCACAACGCCAGAATATTTTCAGCACTGACCAGACATAAAAGCGTAAAAAGGGAGCATACTTTTGTAATAGCTTTTTGTTGGCACTGTAAACCCCTAAGTGTACCCAGCCCTGTGTGCAGCTGGGAGGAGGAACTGAAGCCTGTGAATGAGATCAGTTTGACAAACCTCTTGAAGTATGCAATTCATGTTTTAAGACATTCTGCCACCGTCACCATCTCACGAAACAGAGCAAAACTCACAAACTGAACCACGACTGAGCAGCGTTAATGCCTCCAAAGTGAGCCAGCATGTCTCAATCTGAAGTTTCAACACGGACTGTATACAGGGTTGGGTCGTAACACACATATACCACATGACACTAAAAAGCTGACTATATTTTTAAGTCAAATGCTGCATCCAAATTGAGACGTTTGTGATGCCACTTAGGTCAACACAAATGAGAAGATCAGAGGATAACGAAGGATAAGGAACAATGTTTTTTATTTTTTTTTTACAAAATTGGATGCAACCTTTTTTAATGGTCTGGTTAATTTCAAAATGTTCTTTTTTATTTAATTGTGAAATATAAACTACTTTACAGTATATCGTCATAGTGTTATTGTGATAGTGATTTTCTGGTGGCAAGTCACAATGTAGTAATAAATACAATAAAACTAAAAGGATTAAATGGAAAAAAAATCCCTACATGTATATGTAAATATATACTAAATATATAGGGTGATGAACACTATTACCTCATTATATTATAGTTATAGATTCTTTCAGCTATATCGCAGAAAAAAGGAATTAGACTCTCTATACAAGCTTTATGTCAACAGAAGACTTATCTAAATTTAACCAGATCATATAAAAACGCAGCCATGCTCTTGTCGTATGCTGTATTTCAGTACTGATGAATAACTTGTTGTCAGAGATGCACCAACCACACCCACCACAGCCTTTGAACAGAGGTTGGAAGTGTTAGTTTAACCAAGTCTAGACCCAAAGATTCTGTACATTCCTCTGGATTCCTATAATTCAGAGTGTAGGAAGTGTGCAGCAGAGAAGGCCTGATGTGTACTCCTCCTGTCCCGTCATAAAACGGAGCTCTGTGCTTTGGTCGTGCACTGGGAGGAGCGAGCCCCTCCCAGGAGCTCGTCTGATGCCCAAAAGCAGCTTTACTGAGGCACACTGTATGATCCTCCAGGCCACAAGTGTGTGTGGAGAGGGCCGGACCGTGTGTGGCTGCTGAAGTGCAAGTTTAATGAGTCCACTTTACATAATGGCCTCAGACGTCAGGGGAGACAGGAGGATTTTTACTTCTGTTTGAATATGTTATCTATAATCACTATAAACTACACTGCTGGAGAATTAACCACACAGACACCATTATGCAAAGTTTACTTCAATACCTTGTGAGATTTCATAACACTTTTAAGCAACTTTTGTTAAAGTTAAACTCATCAATCTATCAATGTGCAGAAGCCAGTACTTTTCCCTTGTTTTGTCTATCTGAAGGCCAAGCTACAAGCACACCGTGGCAGCTGCTGATTGGAGGTCTCCATGCCTCCGCTCTGTATAATACACTTGCATTCTGTTGTATCTGTTGTTCGTGCTGTCTCTACCATCGACAATAAAACATGTCTTCTGTCGGAATGAAAGACACGATCCCAGACTTGGCACATCTTCTTCAGGTGGTGGAAGGATGCGGGCCTTGTCTGTAACATCTAAAGAACAGAAGACTTTTTTTTTACACAAAAATGTGTTTTTTTTTAAGCCAAACTGAGAAACCTCAAGAGAATGCATCTGGATCAGCACTTGGACAATCTGCACAGCCCCTGATTCCACTCTGCTGCTGAGACAATAAAACATGTCTTCTGTCGGAATGAAAGACACGATCCCAGACTTGGCTCATCTTCTTCAACCTATTCATTAGCACTTTATGCACTGCAAATGCGGTGTCCACCCAGGACAAGAGTGGGAAGGGTAGGAGTGATTGACTGATTGTTTAATGTGTGCTGTTTGAACCAGCAAAGAATGGTACCTGGTCAGATTTTCTACCTCAAGGAACTAATCACCCATTCACACACACATTCAGACACAAGATTGGTAAAGTGTCTTGCAAAGAGACACATTTTTTCACCAATGTATATAGAGCATTTTATTGTATTTTGTATCTTTTGTTTCTGTGTTTTTATGTGTCCCCACTGGTGCCCCGCCTGCAAATGAAGTTCCTAACGGATAAATAATAATAACAAAATAATAATAATAGCGCATGGTTTTGTATATAGCGCTTTTTTGGACACTCAAAGAAGCTTCAGGTGGAAATATTCAGTTGTGATAGACTACTACAGTAGCCACAGCTGCCCTGGTGCACACTGACTGAAGAAGGCAACCAGTATGCACCATCTGCCCCTCCGACCACCACCAACTATTCAAGCATACACCAGACTCATTCTCAAAAGATTGCGCCTAAGTATGGCATTTTAAAGCCACTTATGTCAGAAACGGGATTCCAACCGCCAACTTTCTGGTCAGAGGACGTTTTCCACCTTTTCACCACAGGAAAGACAGGAATGTGATCAAATAAAGAGTCAAAACACACTTCAAAGTCGAAGTAAGTCTTCTGAAGTCACAGCACAGTGCACCCAGGACCAGAGGGAATCACATAATTATGGACTACAGCAAGATTATTGCTCCAACCTCCATGTATGATGTAGACATTGCACCAGAATATACAGAATATACAGGTTTATACCATATATGTTTATACTTTTATATACCGTTTCTTCATTAAGCGATAAAGAGGTGTGCTATACATGATAATCTCTTCTCTTGTGTTCTTCTTATTCCTTCTGTTCAAAAACTTGTGCTGCAACAATCTTAATCTTAACCTACTGCAAAGAATTGTCATTTGTGTGAGTTGTGTGTAGTTTTAGAACCTTCTTCACACGCCTGTAAAACAGTTCGCTTTTATGGAGGTCTAAATTAATGCTATATTTGGTGGTAGTTTTCCCTGGGAACACGCCTTCACAAAAAGTACAGACTAGACGAGACTTCAAGGACGTTCAGTGGAAATACCCCTGGATAGTAGGAGTTTGTATGTTCCTCTAATTAGTGTAGTTATGAAGATATAATATAGAGTACTGACAGTAAGAAAAGGTTGTTGTGGATTTACCAACAACAAATCAAAGAATCAAACATTTTGAACAAAGAAAATGCAATAATCACACAAAGGAACGATTGGCCCAAAGGGAGCAGGATGACTTATGTCCATAAATGTTAATACATGTATAATAGATAATGCACAAATGTCCTTAAACGCCCCAAATTATCACTGTTCTTAGACACAATGCATCAACGAGGAACAAGACATGCATATACTCATCGTCAGAAGCCTGGTCACTCACTCTGACCAGTGGGAGGAGAATACAGTAGTATTTAGTTTGTCTCAATTTAGGGGAATCCGTCACCAGATGAGTCCAGATGCGGCAAAGCTTTTTATGCATTCAATGATTTTTTCACAATTCACTTATTGTTGCACATCCTGGTCATTGGCTCCAGACTCAGCAAGGCAACCTCTTCTGAGTTTATACAAACAAGCTCTAAAGATTTTAGATAAAAAACCGAGGTCACATCATCATTGCAAAATTGTTGAGAAATATAAATTATTTACATTTGAGAGTGTTATCCAGTTTGCAAATATCTGTCTTATATATAAAATTTTCCAAAATTTGGCACCCCCACCACTAAATACATTTGTGAAAAGGTATGAGGAGGTGAGAACCAGATCCACCAGAAGCCACATCCAGGGGAGACTGTTATCAAATAAAACCCAAAATAATAATAATAATAATAATAATGTACATGTAGACCTGACCTAGTGAGTGATGAATCCCCTAGTGGCATTACGGATTGCGTCTAATGCACAGTAAGTAATGTTTGAGTAGAGTAAAACTCAGACAAAATTTAGATATCATGTGATTAATTTCTGTAACAACTTAAATGTGAAACTAATATATGATATAGGAATCATTACACATAATGGGCTTACAACTACTGAACAAACAACAAAACTGGCATCCCCATTACCTTTCCCTTTGATTGGGACGGAGATGATGATGTTCCATGGGTGTCAAGAATTTCCTTTGGGCATTGAAGCAGTTCTATCAAAATCATACCAAATCAAAGAACTACAAAAAAAAACACAATTACTTAAAGCTTACAATATATCCGAGGGAGTTTGGAGGATCCTTGGGAAAATAATATGGAAGAAAAATTCGAAAGGTTAGGAGCCACTCCAGTTTAAGATTTTAAAGTCAGATATGCATTGAGACTTTCATCCACTTTGCACTCCAAAACAATCCTCTTATTTGAATTTGAATGACTATAGAAATGGTTTTGAACACATGGAAGAAACAATGCTTTCTCTTATGGAGGAAGACCATAAACTCCGTTATAAATAGACTTACACTGATAAATTGCGGGAAAAATACTCAACGGCGCTTTCATGCACATATTTAAGGTTCCGTCATCCCTGTTGACTATTTTCCCTGTTGCAAATTAAAACCTCTTAATTAAAGGTGCATACATAAATGACTAAACAGTTGTTCAATTACGCTTCCCCACTCTTTAAATGCACCTTTATGGTTAGACAAGTTCACTTTGAAGGTGAAGGCTGAAATGTTTTTCCCCAGTTTATGTACATTAAAAAACATTGTCGAACACCCCCCCAGATCCCATTCTAAAAGTGTGCTCCTAATTGACAGGTTGTTGCTTGTTAGTTGATTATATTTTTTTTACCAGGCGGGTGGTAATTGGGAAAGCAGTAAATTCCCAGGAAGCAAACACGCGACTCCACCGTAGCCAGGATGAAAGAAACGCCAGGGTTAGTGTAACATTTGTAGCCATCAGAAAGAGCTAATTGCGTTGGTGAGGGGCCTGTTATTTGTTGTGTGCGAACATTGGCGACACTTCTTTCTTATTTTGTCGTTGTTCTGCCGTGTCCCCAGCTGTTCATAAGGTTAGTGGATTCTGAGTCCTTCCAATGATGTAGCGCCACTCGCCCATAATGGCCTTGTTAACTTAGATTCATTATCTCCTCATCAGGAGTCCCCCTGGATATTAGAGGGAGCGTCCTCGAAACTGCCAGCTGTGCAGTCATCAGGTGTGGCGAGTTGAGGTATTTGTCCACTCTGATGATTCACTTGACCAGAGACTTTTGAGGCTGCGAGAATGGACTTTGCTGTTGCAGACAGTGGTGAATAATCGAAGTAAATATGTCTCCATAGTATTTTGATGTTTGTATGG